ACATTCTCCTCTATTTCCTCTTTTTTATATAGAGACTCAAAATATTTCTGAATTATTTTTTTCTTTTCCTCTATTTTATATTGCAACTCTCCATTTTTGTCGTACAATTCCTGAATAAGTCTTTTTTCCTTCTCTTTTTTTAGTTTGTAAGCAAGCCACCTCCCGGGTTTGTTTGCATGTTCAAAGAAATTTTGTTTAGTTACTTTCAATTCCCTTGCCAATTCCTCTTGTTCTACTATATTTAATTTATGTTTGGCCAGAGTCATTTCCTCTTTAATTATTTCATCTTGTGGCTCCCGTTGTAATTTGGATTCTAATTTTTTAATCTCTTCCAGAAGTATATTTTGTGTCTACCTTTTCACCTTGTTTTTCCTAGCTGTATATGCTATTGCTATTCCTCTCAGATATGCTTTGGCAGTATCCCATATAATTTGTAGTGATGTTTGTTGTTTTGTGTTCTCTTTAAAAAATAATTCCATTTCTTTTTTAATCCTTGCAGTGAATTCTTTCCTTTAAAATTTGGGCATTAAGTGTTCACCTTCTCTTTGCTTTTTTCTGACCTGTCCACACTATTTTCAAAAGGTTATGATCTGGCCATATATTTGGCATTATTTCTATTGTCTCCACTTCTTGTCTTATTTCCCCATTCATCCATGCCATATCCAATCTAGACCACGATTTGTGTGGATTTGAAAAAAAGGTGTATTCCTTTTTTATGGGATTGTTTCCTCCATTGGTCAAATAAATTAAATTCATGTACCATCTCGAAAAATGTTTTTGGTAATGTTTTCCGCTTCTTTTTATTTTTCATATTACTAATATAATCCATTTTTACATCTACTATCGCATTATAATCTCCAATTATACAGATGTTTCCTTGTCCAATTTCTACAAGTTTTTTATGTAGATCTTTATAAAATTCTTTTTGGTTTTCGTTTGGAGCATAAATTGTCACCAATAAACATGATTTTTGTTCCATTTGTAATTCTATTATTAGTACCCTTCCCTCTGTGTCTTGATATTTTAAATTGGCTCTAATTCCTTTTCGGATATAAACTGCTATTCCTCTGTTTTTGTTCCATTAGTGACGTATATAATTCTCCTAATTTTGGGAATTCCAAATATTTTGTAGATTGCAGTTTCAGTTAGATATATCACATGTTGCATTCTCTGTTAATAATACCAATACTAGACAATTTGATATATTTTGGGTCAATTTAGTCCAGATATACTCATGGTATTCTATGCAAGTTAAGATAATTAGCGACTGTAAGCCAACATAGTATGGTATGCATCTTGCCATCTAAAAAGCGCATGCAGTGCATCTCATATGCAGAACTAGTAAGATTTTTTAAAATTTAATATCTTTTTTCCCCGAACAAAACTGTTAGAGAGCCTTTAGCAAAGCTAAAATACTAACGAGTAATACATTCCAACCAACTGGCCTCTTATTCTCTAGTGTAAGCAGCTATTCAGAGTATTTCCTGACCAGCTGATGTCTGTTAGAAATTTACAAACATTTTCATCTTACAAAATAAAAAAACTTAAAATTAAAAATACAAACTAGAAAGAAAAAAATATCTCATGACTGTATCTCATGGTTCTATTATACATATATCAGTGGGTCCCCAAATTTCTTACATAAAAAATCTTATGTCCACCTTTTCAAATATATTCTTTGGGAGTCCAATTCACCTTCAATATAGTTTTTTGATTAATCAACCTGAATCTCAAATCTGTAGATACCATTTAAACCATTTTTAGGGAACTGAACCCATTGCTGTGGCTTTATTGGAAATTCCAATTCTTTAGTCTGTTTGAAATATCCCAAAAATATCCACCTTAAAAATATTAAGCTTTTGATAGATACAGATTTTATTTCTGTAGTGGATGCTTAGCAAATGATTCAGCATTGAATAGTGAATGAAGTTCCCTTGGATATTGAATGTATTTCTGAATGAATGGATTGGGATTGCATTAGAGGTGTGTTAAGTTGGGGAATATAAAGATGTGTGTATTGTTTGTATGCAGATGATGCCATGTTGTTGGTCGAGAACCCAAAGGATTTGCAGCAAGGATCAAGAATAAATTGAGGCTAAATGTAGTTACCAGTATAAATACATTGAAGCAGCTTGGCTGAGAATGTATGAAAATCTAATTACAGAAATGTGGAAGAGTAAATGAACTAAGAGGAATTAAGATCACAACAGGGTTGGAATTGATGAGTTCCTCTAAAACATGGGTGTCAAACTCGCTACATCACGTGATGTGTCACGACGTATCGTGACTTTTTTTGCATTGACGGAGTTGGGGTGGGCGTGCCCTCCATATGATGCAACCGGCCTGTGGGCCGGTAGTTTGACACCCCTGTTCTAAAATAAATAGGTGTAAATTAAAAACAACAATAATGTATGAATCAGTGTATTATGAAACTGGGGTAGGTTGCAAAGAAATTAGACAAGAAGACATATTGTGAGTGCTGTTTGTATAAACAAGGTCTAGTTAGCTTTTTTTTTTTAGCTTGTAATTTACAGGAAGCTATATTAAATCAGTCATTACCCAGGTCAAGTATTTCTACTAATCAGCCTATTTTAATTTAAATTTTAGAAACCCAAAAACATTTGGACCATGAGAGGTGCTCAGGTTCTTGACATCTGGAGACAAGTGGTCTACAGCAGGGGTCCCCAACCTTTGGGTCATGGCCTACTACTGGGCCGTGGCCGCTTGGCCACCAGGCTGCATGAAAGGATGGCCAGTGCATGCGCACATGCACACGTACTCACATCCCCCACTCGCACTAGCGGCAAACATCCCACTGGTGCTAGCGTTGCCCCGAGCATCCCACCAGCGCTAGCGTTGCAGGGCAGTACTTGAACCCATACCCCCTCCGGTCTGCAGAAAAAAAACACTGTCCACGGAACCGGTCCCTGGTGCTCAAAAGGTTGGGGACCTGTGGTCTACAGGATTCAAGGTTATTAGTTGAACAACCAGGGCCAACAGCTGCAGAACTACTTGAAGAAATGTTTACCCATCCCAAATATACAAGCCAGAATTGACTAAAATTGAGAAAAATAGAAATGTCACCTTTGCAAAGAAACTGAAGAAACAGTGGACCACCTGGTTAGCTGCTGCAAAAGATTGTCTCAAAATTCCAGCCTGAAACTCAACTGAAATGAGTCTAGGTTATCTGTTTCCTCTAAGTTCTCCTCAGCTGCAGACAAATCACCTTAACCTTCCCCAAAAATGGAGATTTGGAGACTGCTTAATAGTTGGGTCCATGGAGTGTTTCTTGTCTTAGTGGAGAAATGGACCAATATACATCTAACTGCCAGAAATGGTTTCCTTCAAACTCCTCAAAAAAAAGTATTTTTTATATTTTTCAGATGAAAAAAAACCCAGTCACCTACGTAGATAACTGTCGATTATTAAAAAATCTTCCGATTATCCCACACTGGGGTTTGGCATTAGAGTAAGATTCTGTATTTTTTCTTTTGTTGTCTTTTTACTGTATGAGCATGCATAAAATGAGGGCTAAAAGATGTTCTCAGGTTTCCAAAGTTTAAATAGGCCAAATGGTAGCAATACATATGTGTCACAAAATTAAACAGCATTAAAAACAAGTAAAACACATCTTTTCTTGGTAACAGTGAAAGTATGCAAAGCTAATACTAAAGGGCTATACATTCCAATCAACTGGCGTTTTATTCTCTAGGGCAAGCAGCTATTCAGAGTATTTCCTCACCAGCTGATGTTTGTTAGAAATTTAGATTTTGCAGTAGTCTCCAGTTATTTCGGGATAAATGTGAAGCTGTAGCAATGCTAAATTAAGAGAATGACAACCTGAAATTCTGCTTGGCCTGCAAAGTGTGGGGGGGATTACTATAGCAGTCCTCAATGCAGCAAGTTAACTTTTTTCTTTAAAAAAGACCATTCTGCCATACTGAATGTTCAGGTTGATTTCTACTAACTTTCACACTTGTTAATCAGTCTGGCTTAAAAAAATTATCCAAAGCAAGGGCAGAACTAATTAAATAACAATCCAGCTATTGGCCATTATATTAAATAAGGCAAAAGGTTATTAAACTTTCTAATCTTTTCCTGAGTTTTTCTTGTCTAATTTCAATAAAATACTTCCTGTTCATATTATAGGCTACTGCCTAATATTAGGCTAGTATAGAAATTCCGTAAGATTAAGTTATTATCTAGATCAGGGTGGGCAATTAATTTTCCCAAGAGGCCACAGGGGAAACTGGGACTGTTGTGGAGAGTCAAACCAATAGCTCCTGGTTATGCTCTGCCTGCTCAACTGCAAGGCCATGTTTTGACCGGGGTGGCAGTAGGTACCATGGCCCAGGTGACCTCATGCAATGACCACCACCTCAGGTTGCTCCAGGTGAGCACTGTGCAGGTGCAGAAAAGTGATTTCTCTCCTGGCCCTCCCATAAGCTGGTGGCCAACTGAAGGAACACATGGCGACAACTGCACAGAATTGGTACAAACTCAGCTTCTTCTCCTGCTCCCTGCAGCGTCCTTCTTTAACATTTGTTAGATAGACAGCCAAAGGACCGGATGTGGCCCGGGGGGAGATAAAGTACACAGGTCTGATCTAGAAGCAACACACAGCCTTCATGTAGCCCCCTCCCCTTCCAATTGCCTCTAGTCTAGACCAGTGAACCTTTTGGTCTGGGCATATCAAAAAATTGGAAAATGCTTGACTCTGCTGGCATTTCCCCCAAACAAGGGAAATGTGGCCCTCTATATTTTTAGAAAAGAGTTGAAATCCACACCCATCTTAAAGTTACCAAGGTTGAGAAACAATAGACAACCCCAAATAATTTTCATTCTGGTATTAGCTGCAGAAAGTTTGGTAATACAGTTGTTCACATGCAGTGAACTTGCAGCAAGATTGTTTCCTTCTGTGCTAGTTCTCTTTAAAATAGAAAGCAAAATAACAGGCACCATTTTGCATCTCCCCAAAAAAGTTTTTTTTACAATTTGGATGATACTCAAATACAGTTTATTTCATTTGAACAAGTATTCTTTAAAATCAGTTTGAGAGGTTTGCTTTTGCTAACAAACATTGTGTGGTCTGCAAACCAAACTGAGAATTAAGGTTCACAAACCATTTCTGTCTGATCAACTGTAGTATGGATATAATCTAAATCTAGGTACATCCACTACTGAAAGGCAGTAGATTCAGAAATGGGAGAATTTACAGAATACAAAAAAGGACATATAAGAAGACACAAGTTCACTTGGCATATGTAACTGCCATGATCTGTTCAAGTAGTTTTAGTTGAAACAAAGTGCTATTTCACATAGAAAAAAGGCAGTGTAAGAGACAGAACAGAAAGGAGGGGGGAAAAAAAACCTAGGCTGAAGACGGTCAGACAAGAGACTCAAAACTTGAAGGTATCAGAACCGTCTTGAATTTGGAATGTATATGCATCAGAACCAGATTCTGGAATAACATTCTCATCGTCTTCCTCCTGTAATAAAAGAGTAAAGCTTAAAATATTCTTCTAGATTTCTTCATAGCCTAGTACACGTTGTCCAATTTTAAGCACAAATTGCTGCTTGTGCACATATAAAAAAGTATCAATCTTTTCATGTTTTTAATATAGCAGCACCCTCAATGATGTTACAGAATGTTAAGCCCTTACATGCACAAACTTTTTATCTACTTTTTACCAAGTAGCTTTTTTATTATACAGCAACCTCTGCAGGCCAACTTGCATTTACTTACCTCTGCTGAAAAATATTTTTCAATCAGATTTGCAGCCGATTTGTAAATCTGCTCATTTTCATGGGATTGTAGAGCTTCAATTTTGTCTAAGCCGCCATATTCTTCAATCACGATGCACAGCTTTTCAACCTCACCTATTTTTTCAGCCGCCTATAGAGATAATTTCATTTTTAATGCACTACATTTCATATAAAGAAGATATTCTGAAAAATGCTTTAGTTTTAAGAGTTCTTGGTAGTGAAATACACAGTTTTGATTTGAAAATGCTCCCCCACCACCAGAGTGGGTTGCTTTGTCAACTTACCATAAAAATATTAGTAATAGCATCCAGAATCACCAGGACTGTTTTGCTGTCTTTAACCACAAGCAGATCCAATAATGGCTCTAATACACTGGTCTGAACAAGGTAGATGATCTGGCTAATTGTTCCTCCACTTGTATAATTGGTCACTGCCCATACTGCTTCCTTCTGGGATTTAAAGTCTCCCTGTTTTAAAATACAGGAAAGTAAGGAGACAGCAATAGAACAGCCTTGAAGTGGTCCAACAAAGTTTAATATTATAGAAGTTTTGTGACACACTCACAAATGTAAATACATTTATAACATCTACAGCAAAATTATACACTTCTACTATCCCTTTGAAATGTTTAGTTAATTTGTACAGCCACTCAGCAGATGATTCGGGGTTGGATACGTCATGGAAGAATTAGTGTGCTTTATTTTTTTTTAAAAATGCAGTGTTAAGCAGTGACATTTCCTGCACACTTTCACGAAAAGAAGATAAGTAACCAATATAAGGCAGTTTGCATCTTCAAACCTAGCACTTCTCCAATTAGCTTATTAAAGAGAGCCAGTTTGGTGTAGTGGTTAAAGTACCATGCTGGAAAGTAGGAGACCATAAGGTCAAGTCCCACCTTAACCATGAAAGATGGCTGGGTAAATTTGGGCCAGTCTCTCTCAGCCCAACATACTTCACAAGGCGGTTAGGGTGGGGAAAATAGGAAGGTGTGTTGAAGCCGCTCTCTGTCTTGAGTTATTTGTAAAAATAAATGTTTTGATGCATTTACATTTTACATAATGAGTTCAATTTAGCATCATGCCT